CCTCATAGAAAGTTATGAATACACTGCCTGATGTTTGAGACATCGGTTTGCAATCATTTTGATATAAGATTTTGGCGTAAAATTGATATTTTTAATGCATGCATGGTGGAGGGGTACATGCAGGACATTACGAGGCAAAATATTTGTGGTGTAGTCATGGCGACCTCTGGTTCCTATCACCACCAATTTGTGGTTTCATTCCCGAGGCATCGTTTTGAGGCTTTGATTGTTTTGAGGCTTTGATTGCCTCAAAACTATGCCTCGGGAATGAAACCACAAATTGGTGGTGATAGGAACCAGAGGTCGCCATGACTACACCACAAATATTTTGCCTAAATTTAGCCTAAATTTTAATTTTAAATCTATATATGGTGGAGGGATATGGTGCAGGGTGTTGTGGGGCAAAATAGTCCCCAAAGAAAACTTATGTTTTTCATATTTATGACTATTTTACCATCAGAAGTCCATATAAACACTCTATAACCACTCACTGCTGGTTTTGGATAGTAAATAAAATGTCTATATCTGTGTTGTAGTCATGGCGACCCCTGGTTCCTATCACCACCACCGTAAAGACATCTGAACCATTTCACACTCTGAATCTCTCTGTTTACATCTCACACACTGAATTATGCAGAAATGTAAAAATGGGTGGAATTTCCCTTTAACAAGATTATCATGTTTTAGTAAATTTGACTGGATCTCTATGGAGTTTATGCTTCTCTCGTGCAAGTGAAATGCGGGTGTAGTGCAGCCAGTGCGACTAAAACACTGATTAAACTGGAAGCCTATCTGCTCCGTCTGACAGACGACTAAAAGATGGTTCAAATGTTAATGTTTTTAAGAGTGATTTGGGTTCAACAGCATAAAATCACACACACGCACACACACACACACACACACACACACACACACACACACACACACACACGCACAAACAAACAAACAAACAAACAGAGATTTGTTCTTTGGAAAGTTACTGACAAATGCAAAAGTTAAGTTGCCACTTTAACTGGGGGAAACAAATGAAATGTAAAAGTAGGTTGGCGAATGTTATGGCAAATATTCCATGTTTTATTTTGTTGCAATATGTTAAACTCATCAAAGAAATAGAAACTGTGCACTAAAATGTGCAGGAATTTATTTAACAGTTTATGCTGTTGTAGAGGATGTGTTTACTTATTTTGTACTAATAATATGCACCATATTTATTATACATATATATTGTCCTTATATAGTATATACTATATAGATATCTTGGAACAAAACATTCTATCTCCAAAATGGTAACTTTACAGGAGAAGGAAGGAACCTACTGTACTTTTAATGTAAGTCAATGGAACCAGATTTTTTTCCAAGCCATTTTGGGCCGTTTCTTTTGGTCCATTCATCACGAAATTTACGAACAATGTAAAGAGCAACAGGCATTTTCAAATTATGTCAAAAACTGAAAAACGACAAAAATGGAGATATAAGGTTTTCATATTTATATATATATATATATATATATATATATATATATATATATATATATATATATGTATATATGACCAGCCAAGATGTCTGTTGTACTCTTTCAGTTGAAAATAAAATGAAACCTGGAGATTTTGTAAAGTAAAACATGGACATTTTTGTCCTAAAGTGGCTTTTTACTCACATGCCAAGCCTGTTATCAGCTCCTCTAAACTTATCTTGTCTCTCATCTTATCTTTAGAGTCCTTATAGACACGCATGCTAGTCTACCACACTATTCCATACTTCTCTCACAAACCGAATGGATCGCTCATTTACATAAATATTCCTACTTATCAACTCCTATATAAAATATATCAACTTATCCCTAATTTCTGATTAAAGAGCCACTTTTTCTTTTTTTGTCTTGTTGATTAAACCCTCACATTTACTCTTCCTGTAATGCAGCATCCAGCATTCAGTTGTTAATATGTCTCATATTTAAGCTGTAGCAGGAAGCTTGCTCCATTTCCTTTCCTCTGTTGTATGTACACAACAATCCAGCTCCCCATATTTATCTTATATACTTTCCTTAAAGGGGGACTCCACCGATTTTTCAAAATCTCGGTATAATTCTGTTGTTGAGATGTAAACAGAGTGATTCAGAGTGGTTTGGTGTGAGATGGTTCAGATTTCTTTCCAGTGGTGGTGATAGGAACCAGGGGTCACCATGACTACAACACAAATATAGACATTTTATTTACTATCCAGAACCACCAGTGAACCTACACGAGTCTTCAGAGGTTTATATGTAATGTTGATGATGGTAAAATAGTCATAAACCTAAAAAAATGGGTTTTCTTTGGGGACTATTTTTGCCTTATAATGCTGTGCATGTATCCCTCCACCATTAATCGATTTTGGGAAAAAAATAGGCCAAATGATTCTCTCAAAACTATGCCTCAGGAATCAAACCACAAATATGTAACCATTTAATGTTGAAACTTTATAGCTTTTAGAGGTGGATGTCTGGTTCCTTTCACCACCACTGTGAACAATTCTGACTCTGTATGTTTCTCTGAAGTGAACTACTCTCATTGACTTTGTTTACATTTTAATGGTTGAATTACACAGAAATTTTTAAAAATTGGTGGATTTTCCCTCTAAATTTAGTCACATTTATATTAAAGTCTTGGCTTAGCTAAAAGTATTACCTAACTGACTCGATTATGTGGTTTCTGACAGTGTTTGATGTACTCTTATCTATATAAATGGACCAAAGTATAAACAAAATTAAGGCTTAAAAATGACGTCTATTCCTGTTTTCACTACGCTAACATGCTTTAGTCCATGTTTATAGATAACAGTGAGTCACACAGTGTCACAAACCACATAATCAAGTGTACTTGAGAGTACCTTGAGGCCAATCTGTGATGTTTTAGGCCTGCAATTATCTGTAAGCTGTTAGCTGTAAGCTACCATTACTTGTTAGCTACATTAGCTTTGTAGCCCCAGTGCTAAAACTAAAGAAGAATTCCAAATATTAGACATCTTGGCTGATCCACAGTTGGGATAATGGGTGGAAAACTGCAAATTTTTGGCCAAATTGTTTCTTTAATGGTAACTCTGATGTCTTATGTGTATGCCCTACAGAAATCATATATATGGTAATATATGGATTTCAAATACATGACATATATTAGCATATATGGGTTTACCTTATGTCCAACTTATATTTGACATATATGTCTATATATTTGACATATATGCCAATTTATTTGAAATTGGCTATTTTCAAATATGGGACATATATTTCAGCCATTTATCAGCTTATTCAAAGATATATACGTAACATATATTTAAAGATATATGATAGCCCTGATGAAAAAAGCACAGACCAGCATGAATTCTATAGTGGTCTAAGCTGGTCTAAACTGGTTTAGCTGCTCACCCAGCATGGTCATGCTGGTTGACCAGCATACCAGCATCCAAAACAAAACATATGCTGGTCTATGCCTGTTTGTAGCAGTGAGAAAACATTATTCATATGTGTATGGGAAATATTACATATATACTGGCCTCATGTTAATTAATATAAGTTTTTCCATTGAATATATGCTTCTGGTGCATTTCATTGGTTTGTGCCTTTAAAAAATTTTTTGGTGTTTGTATCAGTCATATATGTATGATCCATGCATCAGACATATATGTCAGATATACAGTATGTATGATTCATATATTGTGCCTATATGACCAATATGCTTACATGTATGTACACTACACATATGTGTAGTCTTAAAAAAGATGGTTCTTCATGGGTTCTTTGGTAAAGAAAATGGTTCTGTATAGAACTGTGAACACTGAAAGAACTCTTTGCATGATTAAAGGGTTCTTTGCATCACCAAAGGGTTCTTTGGATTGATGGAGAGTTCTATAAAGCACCATAAACGGTTCTTCTATCATGACAAGCTTAACATCATAACAATAAAAAAACCCTTTTCAAAAAGGTTCTATGTAGATCCATCTACAGCACATTCTCCATCAATCTGAAGAACACTTTGATGACACATTCAACCCTTTAGTCATACAAAGGGTTCTTTGAGTGTTCATGGTTCTATATAGAACCATTTCTTTACCGAAGAACCCTTGAAGAACCATCTTTTTTAGGTGTGTACACATATACTAAAATATAAGATGACCATTTGTGATACATAGATGACCATATATCAGATTTCTGCATGCGTGCTAACTGTGATCTCCTGTCCTGCCCCTCTAGCGCCCCCTGTTCCAACTCCTGACCAAATACACATAATCAGTGAGGAGATCCAGGAAGGAGAGGTGGTGTCTCGCAGTGAGCTGAAGCTGAGTGCTGCTAACGGCACAGTGGAGGATGAAGAGGAGGACAGAGGAAGAGACGGCGTAGAGGAGGAAGCAGTAGTTCCAGAGGAGGTGCCCCCTAGCAGGAGCACTGTGGAGGATGCAGGGGGAGACGTGGGGGTGAAACAGGAAGAGGCAAAACCAGTAGCAGAGGAGAAAAAAGAAGAAGCAGAACAAAAGATAGAGGTGAAACCAGCAGGGGAGGAGAAAAAAGAAGTACCACAGAAGATAGAGGAGAAACCAGCAGCACAGGTGAAACCAGCAGTGGAGGTGAAGAAAGAAGATCTAGAACAGAAGGTAGAGGAGAAACCAACAGTGGGGGAGAACAAAGAAGCAGCAGAACAAAAGATAGAGGTAAAACCAGCAGGGGAGGAGAAAACAGAAGTACCACAGAAGATAGAGGAGAAACCAGCAGGGGAGGAGAAGAAAGAAGATCCAGAACAGAAGGTAGAGGTGAAACCAGCTGCGGAGGAGAACAAAGAAGCAGCCAAACAGAAGACGGAGGAGAAACAACAGGACCCGGGACAGGAAGCAGAGAAGAAACATGAAGACGTGGTTAGGCAGGACGGGGAGGTGCTGGAGGAGTTGGAGGTGAAGCCTGTACTGAATGAGGAGGAGCAGAAGGAGTGACTTTCCACTGCCTGCAGGTCTTTAACTGCTGCTCCGGGGTATCCACTCATCTCTATGCAGCCTGTCAAAAGTTTGGGGACACCAGCTTTTAAAAAATGTTCTTAATACCTGAGTTTCCTTTCTTTGCCAGCTTACAGTAACTTTTTTGTCTCGCAAAACCGAAACACAGCTGATAAAAAGCCCTGATTTAGGAATAAAGCCATAGGCCATGCGTTGCGTCTCCTTGCTGTGATGTCAGCAGTCAAATCTTTCAGACGTTTAAACCATCTGTGGCCCAAAAGAGTCAATATGTGCTTTTAAAGCGTCCATATCCGACATTTTTTAGGCCCAAGTCCGTTTTAGAGCTACGTCTGACATTTGTGTGGGTTTATGTGCCACTTCTGTTCTGATTATATTGAGCCTCACTCCTTATAACTTCAGTGTCAGTGGGCGGAGCTAAACTGCTGCTGACTGAATAGGTGGATATATGTAAAAGAATTGTTTTTTTTTTTTGCGACTCCACAAAAACAATAAATTCTAAACAGGCTGTTTGTGCAGCTGATATAGTTTCCATATATACAGCCGCGTGCAAAAATTTGAACACCCCTAAACAAATGTTTTTATTGATTTTCTAAGTGAAAATAACTCATTCTTTAACGTGAATGAACTTAAGTGTGGCATTTTTCAGCATATTTTAGTGCACGGTTTTTAGTTTAATTTTGAGTTTAACATATTGGAGGGAAAAAAAGCATAAAATGGTATGGAAAAACTGCAATGTGGGAGGCAGACCATGCCTAAAACACCACCATCTTCCAATCAAACACCCTATAAATTCCCGTCTTTACCTTTCGTTTCCTGTGCACAATGTTTTCACAATGTCCGTGAGGGAGATGCTATGGACATTAGCACTGAATAAGTGACTCCTCAGCAAGAGGAGAGAGAAGTGCATGCTTGGAAGATCCACAGGTGGACTGGAAGATGTGTGGAGAGTCAGGCATCGGCAGGTGGGACAGCAAGGAGGGGCAGTAGCGCCGTCCTCCCACATACTACCACCATATGTTGAAGGCACAGTCTGAAAAATATGCTTAAATTCAACAAACAGTGATTGTGCAGTAAAATGTGTTCACTGTAGAGGGTGTGTTCACTTATTCTCACTTAGAAAATCAACAGAACATGGAATTTGACCAGAGGTGCCCAAACTTTTGTATACAACTCTGCATACATGGACTGTATGGACTGCAGAGTGAACAATATGTTTGAAAACTCTGATGATGTTTACGTTCTACACCAAAGGTTTTTTCCATGGTATGGACCCCTTAACAGTAATTTGTAACAGTCATTATTATTTAGGCAAAAGCTGCTCTTCATTCCAAGGAAGACACTTCAGTAATGAGCACTGAAGATAAATATACACTATATGGACAAAAGTATTGGGACAACAATACAGGAGCTTTTATGAATCCCATTCTAAATCCATAGGCATTAATATGGAGTTGGCCCCCCTTTGCAGCTCTAACAGCTTCCACTCTTCTGGGAAGCTTCTACAAGATGTTAGAGAGTGTCTGTGGGAATTTCTGCCCATTCATCCAGAAGAGCATCTGTGAGGTCAGACACTGATGTTGGACGAGAGGGCCTGGCTCACAATCTCCGTTCTAGTTCATCCCAAAGGTGTGTGATGGGGTTGAGGTCAGGGCTCTGTGAGGGTCTGTCAAGTTCTTCTACACCAAACTCACCCAGTCAGGCCTTTATGGAGCTGCTTTGGTCACTGGGGCTCAGTCATGCTGGAACAGGAAAGGTTCTTCCCCAAACTGTTCCCACAAAGTTGGAAATTGTCCAAAATGTCTTGGTGCTGAAGCATTAAGATTTCCCTTCACTGGAACTAAGGGTTCTAGACCAACCCCTGAAAAACAGCCCCATAGCATCATCCCTCCTCCACCAACTTTACAGCTGGCACAGTGCAGTCAGGCAGGTAACGCTCTCCTGGCATTCTACTGCCAGTGTTTGTCTATTGTAACAGCAAGGCTTTGTGCTTAATTTGATCGACCTGTTAGCCATGGGTGTGGCTGAAACACCTGAACTCAATAATTAGGAGGTGTGTCCCAATACCTTTGTCTATATAGTGTACCTATGATCAGCACAGAGCTGCTTTAGGCTAGCTAAACCTTTGCAGGTACTTTTCTTATTTCACTTAAAAGTAACAGCGAAAATCAAAAATTACACACAAAAGAAGAAACAGGGCCCCCAAACTTCACCTCTAACTCTCCTTCTCTCCCTCTGAAAAATGCTCCTCTGCTCCTCTTGTCTACACTGTGCAACAATAAAACAAGTGCCAACTGACACCTGAGTCTGCATTATGTTCTGTATATTCACCATAATTTTATATAGTTTATCAACTAAACAAACAGTTCAGCAAAAAGCCAAATATACAGTACCATGCAAACATCAGAGACAGCCCGTCATTTAATTTCTAATTATATTCAACAATTTATTAAATATAATATCATTTTTCCTGTATTTATTGTGCTTTTCTAATCCTTTTCAGGGGACTTGCTTTCAGTTTTTCAAAGAAATTGGCAGGGATATTTTTCCAAAATGTGGCGCATTTTCTATTATGCGGTCGCCCTCTGTTTTAGCTCGTAACAACAATGTAATATGATTGGTGTGAAAGACTTAATTGGAAATATTATCAATAATATTAGCTCACTGTCGAAGGAAAAACAAGTATCTCCAAAATAGTAACTTCACAGCAGAGGGCAAAAACGCTTTTTAAGTCTATGAAAAGTGACATCATTCAAAGCAGTTTTGGAGCATTTCTATTGGTCCATTCATCAAGAATTAGTTTACACGATGTAAAGGATAAATTCCGTGGTCTAATGATTTTGAAAAGTAAAAATCGTAAAAAATGGAGATGCATGTTTTTCTTTGGGCAACAATAATAAAGTTATATACTTTTTTTAACAACCATCCTGCTACCGTTCCCAAATTCTCTCACACAATGTTGACGATGTCCCCAGTCAACGTTATGTAACGTAACTAAAGAAGCAAAGTTCAGACTCATGTTCAAACATGTCTTGATCAACATTTAAGTTAAGGAGGACGAAGGGCTGTGTTTGATTTTTTTACCTGCAAATACATTGTTACTCAGTAGGGCTGTAAGGCTGAACAATTTAGGGAAAATTTCTAATTGCGATTTTTTGAACCAATACTGTGACTGCAATTTAAAATGTGACTATTTTCTCCAAATTAAGGGCCATAAGGACCAAAATATACATTTTATTTTCTGGACTGAGGCTTGTAAGCAGAACCTAGTACACCAGACTGCCAGTAGGTTCATCACAATAACAAATTTTATCACTAAAAAATTATAAAATATTATTATATTGTTTACCTCTCCATGTATCTTTGGTTGCTTTTGTTTGACCAAACTTTATAGGCTCATCACAAGCAAAATGCTGTTAATGATATATGCTGTGATTAAAATTACAGCTCTTATGATCTGATCTTTCAGCCATCAGGCAGCACTTTGATTTGAAGAAATGAACATCTCTTTTCTACAAGACTTGTTTATTCACAACCGTTTCATGATTCCAGACTGGTGCGACAGACATGGTGAGAGACACGGAGGTGTAATACTGCATAAACGTTACTCAGACAACACATCAGACGACGAAGAGAAGGCAAAAGTACCAAATGTCCAATTTAATGAGAGACATTATTGTATCAAAAATGACTACTGAAAGGAATTTCTTGTTGTCCACTGGTGGATCTGCAGACTTTTTTGACGGAGACACTGAAGCGCTGCACAGCATGTCGTCATCCGCTGAGCACTGGGGCTGTGCTGGTTGGTCTCAACGTGGTCCTGTAGGTCTGTTTGGTCACTGCGTCACGTTAGCGAGTAAAGGTCTTGCCCCTGAGCAGAGAAAGTCAGAGTTAGTGGCACAATCTGAAGGACAGTCATTATATAGTCAATAATATTGGTAAACATCTATTCAAAATGACCTAATATAAAACATGAAGCATAAAGTCATTTTATAGTGTAAAGTTAGGCCTGCTGCGTAATTCGTTAAATCAAATAGTTTTAATACCTTTTTAAGATCTTAAAGTATAATGATACTCATAATACTACTACTAATAAAAATATAATAATAATAATAATAATAATAATAATAATACAGTTTCCAATGCTATAATCTAAATTTATACTAAAATCTATTTTATACAAAAATCCAGAGAGGCCATGGGCTGTTGCTATAATTTTCCGGATTGTTATCTTGAGATAACGAGTTAATTATATTGTGATCTCAAAATAAAACTTTTGTTATCTCGAGATAACAAGATTATTAACTCGTTATCTCAAGATAACAATCCAGAAAATTATGGCTACCTTATGGCCTTTTTAAGGAATTACATATCACAATACCTACATTTAGAGTCAGTTATTCATTCAACCTAATGAGAAACTGTAGAACAGACTCAGTTTATATCACAATACCTACATTTAGAGTCAGTTATTTATTCAGCCTAATGAGGAACTGTAGAACAGACTCGATTTATATCACAATACCTACATTTAGAGTCAGCTATTCATTCAGCCTAATGAGAACCTGTAGAACCGACTCGGTTTATATCACAATACCTACATTTAGAGTCGGTTATTCATTCAACCTATTGAGAAACTGTAGACTAGACTCGGTTTATACCACAATACCTACATTTAGAGTCGGTTATTCATTCAACCTATTGAGAAACTGTAGACTAGACTCGGTTTATACCACAACACCTACTCTTAGAGTGAATCAACTATTACTCAATATTAATATTAATGTTCAAAGATCTTCTTACAGCCTTTACAAACAGGTAATGGACCAGTCGAGAGTTTCAAAGCACTGAATCACTCATGTAACCCCCCTCCTCCCCCATTTGCCGAGGGCTGTTTTTGTAAGATTGGTCTTTTTACTGGGTAAACATTAACATACATGATATCTACTCCCATGGGAACTCCCCTCTACTCTGGAATCTGTGCCTACAAAACTTAAAAACGGCAACACTGCCTCCTCGTAGGCCACTTTTAAGCTGGTAGCATTTATGCAAAACATATCCTGCTGTTCTGATTAAGCAAATCTCAGTGTGCATGTCTGTGAGATTGAAGTGCAGCAGCTCTGATTGTGCACACGTTTATTCTGCACACGTTCTCCATCTGAAATCTACTCGTTTCTGAAGAAAAGATGACAGACTTCAAAGTATACAGGTGTGTTGCTTTTGGCAGTGCTTTACTGCTGGCCTGAGCTCAAAAGCTCTCAGCGGGTTTGCGGCTAAACAACAACGTTGCAGCAGTATCTGCAGGCCATTTTCACGCCAATAGATTAGATTCTGGGAAATGATGAATGGTGCAATCATTTATCCTGAGTAAACAGGGCTTGTGATTATTTCGACACCAGCTAAGTACCAACATGTTATCGGATCAATTCTAAACATATGCAATTATCACCTTACAGAAATGAAAGAATAAATCTAAAAGAACCTGCAGGTCCATTTCTTTCCCTATGATTCTGTTTAAAAAACAACTACAAGCCAAAACGACAACCACTTAAAGGTGATAAAACAAACATGACTGGATATTTCACCAAGCATAACGTATCATATTTTAGCAAATCCAGTGCGGGAGAGGTGTGAGAACCTTCATAGTGCCAGCAAAACCACTATTTATATCCAAAATAACCCAACTGCAGCATTATGGTGGGAAATTTTTGAAAAGAAAAGTGTAACCAGGGTGGATGGTGTGTGGAGAGTCAAGTACTCAAATAATGAGGGTGTTCAAATAATTTAGTCATACCGTTTCATAATGGGAGCACAGAGAAAACATACAGGCTAACAATCCAGTGACGCCAACTTTCTTAAATGTTTTAACGAGACTGCAAAACGTGTCGAGTTTGAAAGTATTTGTGGGTAAGTTTGTACACTATACAATGTTTTTCTTCTATGAACTTAACATGAGTGCATGGCCAAGGTTGTGTTGTTAGGCACATGACTGAGAAGGCACAGCTAGCATGACTTCTTCGCTAACTACTCTAGCCGATGCTATCTAGGTCAAGAAACAGTGAAAATATGTTTTTCTGATTAATTAACATGTTGGCACATCTTCCATTTAGGAGAAAAAGCCTCATGTAAAAGCCAAGACCCGGCATCCGTCAGCATCCAATGTTGTATTGGTTAGCTTTAGTGTTAGCTCATAAGCTCATCCGAAGAGGCAGCCTCTGTTACTCATAACACAGGAAAACCTAATGACTTCTCTCGATTATTTTTGAAAAATAAAACATGCTTTCAAATGCATTTCTCTTCATGATGCTAAATCCAGCGCAGTCACCTAAAAATGTATTAGGTGAAAATGTACAAAATGAAAATAAAAATCATAAATAAAATAACGTACTGAGACAAAGTAATGAGAAATGAAATTTAAAATAACTAACAGGAATAGAGTTTATTCTAAGACCACTTCGGAAATTGTTCCAGCTGGAGCAAGTGGAATAAGAAACGTTATATACAAATAAAAGTAAACATAGTACTACAAGTAAATTAGAAATATATGAAGGTAATTGACCAATCAGGGCCTTATAACTAAATGAAGGCCTATAGATAACACACTAATATAGATAACACACTAATATAGATAAACTAATATAGATAACACATTAATATAGATAACACACTAATATAGATAACGTATTTTTGCCCTTATTTTTTGTGCAATTACAAGCAATTTCTTTTGCCTGCCAGTTTACAAGTCCTGAACATGAGTGTTCACTCAGATACTCACGAGATCGTCTTCATCTCTTTCTTTTCGGCGTCTGGACGAGCGCGGTTCAGAACCTTCAGGAAGTCGGAGGTTTTGGCTCTCATGCGGGTGTGGATGTAGGCCTAACACAGCAGGAAAAACTTATGAAACAACAGAAACTGTACACAAACATCAGTGAGATTTCACATTAAAAGGAACCCATTACGCTCATTTTTAATGTTTATAATTTAATTTTGGGGTCTACTACAGTAGATTAACAAGCGTCCACTAACATTTTTTTTTTCATACTGTACATCTCTTTTCACTCTCTGTCTGAAACGCTCTGTTAGAGCTCCTGCGTCTTTAAGCCCCGCCTCCCGATGAGCCCAGTGAGCTCCGATTGGTCGGCTTGCCCACTCTGTTCTGATTGGTCAACTGCCAGAGCGGCATCCTGCCCCTACACCGCTGTCTTACAACAGCATCGGTTCTGCTGGTTTAGTTTAAGCCAGAGTCCGATCCCGAAAGTCAGGCAGAACAAGCTGGCAGAGCCGATCCACCTTCGTAAGCTAGACTGGAGCAGGACGTTCCAGAGCTGTAAGTTTTAACTTTCAAGCTTTCGTGTGACGACGTGCCGAGCTTGCTGGTAGGTGGGCAGTAAGGAATGTGTTATGAGATTTCGTCATCCTGTAGCAAAGGAGAAGGGCTGGAATTCCAACGAGGCGTTTCAGGCAGCTGAGAACAGTGGTTTCTGTGGGAGAGAGTTTCTCTCTCGTTTGTGTACTTTGAGCTTTACAGACTGTTTACATGCACAAAAAGCTATAACACACTAAGACAAAGGGGGGAAAGCCAGTATAATAGGTCCCCTTTAAAGGGTCTCCTGTAGTGTATTACAGTCTGTCAGAATGACTGTGTGGATCACATGAACATTATAGAGCTTTTTAAATGAAACAGTAGAAGCCATATCGCCCCCTACACTTCCTGTAGTGTATTACAGTCTGTCAGAGTGACTGTGTGGATCATATGAACATTATAGAGCACTTTTTAAATGAAACAGTAGAAGCCATATCGCCCCCTACACTTCCTGTAGTGTATTACAGTCTGTCAGAGTGACTGTGTGGATCATATGAACATTATAGAGCTTTTTAAATGAAACAGTAGAAGCCATATCGCCCCCTACACTTCCTGTAGTGTATTACAGTCTGTCAGAGTGACTGTGTGGATCATATGAACATTATAGAGCACTTTTTAAATGAAACAGTAGAAGCCATATCGCCCCCTACACTTCCTGTAGTGTATTACAGTCTGTCAGAGTGACTGTGTGGATCATATGAACATTATAGAGCACTTTTTAAATGAAACAGTAGAAGCCATATCGCCCACTACACTTCCTGTAGTGTATTACAGTCCGTCTGAATGACTGTCTAGATCATATGAACATTACAGAGCACTTTTAAATGAAATAAAAGAAGCCACATCACCTCATACTCCTCCAGTAGCGTATTACAGTCTGTCAGGATGACCGCGTGGATCATATGAACATTACAGATCACTTTTTAAATTAAACAATAGAAGGCACAGCTGACACTTACGCATCCTGCCGTGTGCTGCAATCTATCAGAATGACCATGTGGATCATATGACTCTTATAGAGCATTACAGAGCTTTTGCTTTTAAGTAAAATATGCCTTTTTTCTGTAATTGATGCTGCGAACAGTTCTAATTTGGATAAATGTGGTGTTTAAAGCTCCATCTATCTCTGCAAAGAGCCCTCCTCAATGCACTAACAAAGGAAACAGCTCACACGTCAGACACTGTCGCCACCTTCATAAACACCACCGAGATTAGACATTAACAAGTCTGCATTTTTTCCTCCTTACACTCACAAACCCACACATGTCGGCACACAAAGTGCCGAGTGTGTCGGGAGGGAAGTAGGCAATCCCTGCACTGACTCAAAAGCTTTAACAGCACCGCGTGTTGACAGACAGAAAAAATAAGAGGCTTTGTTTGCAGTGAGCTCACCTTGGAGCACTTTATGTGGTAATGCAGGTAGTCCCTGAAGGTGTGGATGAGGTTGATGGTGTTGTCTCTGGCGTTGGCGTTCGTATGACGAGGGAACAGCACTGCAGAAGATAAAGATCTACTTCAGAACTAAAGTGAACAGGATTATAGCACACAGCACGTAAAAGGAGATAACAGTTTATGACTAAAGTTGGCTTCTTGTGCTAACTTCCCGTTCCACCTTAAATGGTCCCTGTACAGGTGTCAGAATGTAACTGCTGCTCCATTTAAGGTGGATCAATAAATCTGAACAAAAGACTGCAGAATGAAAAGCCAGCCTTCAGCCTTGCAGAATTTCAGAAGCGAATTACTATTTTGCACAATATAAAGATTTCAGATATGTTTACTTAAACATTATGATTAAAAAGTGAAGGGACATCCCAGAATAATAAGCTAACCTATAAAAAATGGTTTAGTCAAGCAATTTGATTTGAAAATATATGTATAACATGATATATACAGAAACCATAAGAAATTTTAATTATACCATGATATGAATTTTTGGCCACATCACCCACTTTGTAGGACTCTACTTTGCACAACAATAATAATAATAATAATAACAATAATAATAATAATAATAATAATAATAATAATACTACTACTACTACTACAAGTCCTTATTGTGCATAGTGACCAAGGATATGTGAAAAAACAAAAGATGACCTGAAAAAAGACACTTATACACTATATACAAATACATATCAATGCAAAATTAAAGCGTAAAGTGTAAATTATCAAGATCAGATTAAAACAGTGCAACAAATAAACACAACAATTTGAAGATAATCCGCAAAGTCTATTAAAAGCAAACAAATGATGTGACCCGTATGAATTGTGCAGGCTATGCTGGTCAAAACAAGCACACATTACAGCAAGCAGCAGCTTCGACTGATACAAGTCGTTGCATAAAGATGACAAAACTGTGTACATATTTGCAGTGTTAATAATCACTGTTTCCAGACAGAGCCCACTAGTTCAACAGTGACTCGTGTCATAAAACACAGTCAGAAGCTGAGGGCTGTTAGCCTCTTAAGGTGTGTCACTGTTTTCGTTAAAGTGTGCGGACAGTTCAGAGACGAGTTGGATGTTCAGCACACGGTACACCTGCCACAGGTGCAGCTTCACAGCGCGTGCAACAGGTGTAGGTACTCGTTAGTGTGCATATCACAGTCGGTTTAACAGAACTGAGGAACGATGGACACAGTAATGAACACAAAAAGCAAAAGTGGCACCATGACAGGGACAGTTCACCGTAGCTGAGACCAGGGCTGAACGATTCTTTTCTATCTAAATTTTTCTATCAAAAACGCAATATGAAAGGGTGCAATGTTCAAATTGCAAGAGCTGCAAATTTCATTGTAATTGTTAAAATAATTATAGTAATTATTCATTGTAATTATTAAAAGTTTTAATTTGGGAAATTTAAACTCATAATGGAGAGCTTGAGAGCCAGCAGACTGTCACATCAGCATATCCACAAAAATTTCTATGCTGGTCTTAGTGGGAAAAAAATCCTGTAGCATGAAGTACAGAAAACAATTACATGACAATTATTTTCCCCAAGTTGTTCAGGCTTCACTGATACAGTTGGGGTAGTAACTGACACTAATTAACCCAATTTTGTCCCAATCATGGTCAGATCCACTAGTTAGCTAGGTCTCCCCATATCAAACAATGCTACCAAGTTGGGTGGGTAAACGAGAGACAGGGAGAGATAGGTAGAGAGATGGAGAGAGAGAGAGATAGGGAGAGAGAGAGAGATAGGGAGAGAGAGAGGGAGAGATAGGAAGAGAGATATAGGGAGAGAGAGAGAGAGATAGGGAGGGAGAGGGAGAGATAGGAAGAGAGAGAGAGATGGGGAGAGAGAGGGAGAGAGAGGGAGAGATAGGGAGAGAGAGGGAGAGATAGGGAGAGATAGGGAGAGATAGGGAGAGAGATAGGGAGAGAGAGAGAGATAGGGAGAGGGAGAGAGATAGGGAGAGGGAGAGAGAGAGAGAGAGAGAGAGAGAGAGAGATAGGGAGAGAGAGGGAGAGAGAGGGAGAGAGATAGGGAGAGAGAGAGAGATAGGGAGGGAGAGAGAGAGATAGGGAGAGATAGGAAGAGAGAGAGTTGGGGAGAGAGAGGGAGAGAGAGGGAGAGAGAGGGAGAGATAGGGAAAGAGAGGGAGAGAGAGGGAGAGATAGGAAGAGAGAGAGAGATAGGGAGAGAGAGGGAGAGATAGGGAGGGAGAGAGAGAGAGATAGGGAGAGAGACAGAGAGATAGGGAGATGGGGGGGAGAGAGAGAGATAGGGAGATGGGGGGGGAGAAAGAGAGAAAGAGAGAGAGAGAGAGAGAGAGAGAGAGAGAGAGAGAGAGAGAGAGAGAGAGAGAGAGGGGGGCTCTCTTGGACTCCTGGTCACAGCGGTTCTGGCATCACCAGGGACCGAAGTCATAATCTCCTAATAATAGGGCCAACGATTAGACAGCCACTCATGAGCCCTTAATGCTTTAAATTTAAAAAAATAGTGATTAACCATAATCCTAACCTTGACCGTTTTATTTTGAGAGTACAGTTTCCACTAGCCACCGTAGTTGGGTAAGTAAATAACCACAAGCCTAACCGTTTATGCACAGTTCTGTCATGCATAACATTAACAGGAGCCACTTAACTAACACTTTAGCTAGTTAGCTAGATGACCAACACTCATCTAAGCTGAGGCTTTGCAAAGCATGGGTCCTGGTTGCAGCTGGATACCACTGGAATCCACCTACAGTCCTGTAAACCAAGGGCTAGATGAACAGTGGATGCCTTATTATGAGAACTAAAGGCTAGACACTGCCTTTTCATCCCCACACCTCACTCGTATAAATGATGACTCCAAATGGGTCACTTCATTTTACCTCAAGACAACTTCATCTTTTTTTTGGGTCCAATTTGGTTCAGTTATCTATAAAGTATGATGACAAGCGAGCAGTGAAGTCCAGTAGGATGTAAGTAACAGCTATCTGGAAAAAACGCTAAACACTTGCACCATTTAGCTTGCAATTGAATTAGCTGCAACTGAAGCTACCGAAGGTGATGTAGCCGATGTTGTCTCCGACTGCAGCGTCCGTGTCCTTCAGCTCCAGAGGAGGCTCTCTGTGGTTAAACAGCACCTGAGGAGCTGTATGACTGGCACGCCGACCCTCTTTAAACTCCTACAGAGAGAGAGAGAATGAAATCAGTAACATCACCATACCCTTTAGCTCTATCATAGCCCTATAATTTGAGTGATTAGTGACATGATCCGTAGTTGTAATCCAGTATGAATCTGCAGTGTGTGTAGTTTTACAGTCTGACGGTAATAATTGTGGAGCGATTTTAATCCAGTATGAATCTGTAGTGTGTGTAGTTTTACAGTCTGACAGTAATAATTGTGGAGTGATTTTAATCCAGTATGAATCTGCAGTGTGTGTAGTTTTACAGTCTGACGGTAATAATTGTGGAGCGATTTTAATCCAGTGTGAATCTGCAGTGTGTGTAGTTTTACAGTCTGACAGTAATAATTGTGGAGCGATTTTAATCCAGTGTGAATCTGCAGTGTGTGTAGTTTTACAGTCTGACAGTAATAATTGTGGAGCGATTTTAATCCAGTATGAATCTGCAGTGTGTGTAGTTTTACAGTCTGACAGTAATAATTGTGGAGTGATTTTAATCCAGTATGAATCTGCAGTGTGTGTAGTTTTACAGTCTGACAGTAATAATTGTGGAGTGATTTTAATCCAGTATGAATCTGCAGTGTGTGTAGTTTTACAGTCTGACAGTAATAATTGTGGAGTGATTTTAATCCAGTATGAATCTGCAGTGTGTGTAGTTTTACAGTCTGACAAAGCAGATGCAAACTTCCGGGCTATGAAGTTTCGGTCTGTGGGAATTTGGGGATAATTTCTCAGATACTTTATTCTGAAATCAACCTGCCAATCAAACCTGACCCATTACATTACACAACCTCATCTGGGAAAACTCATAAACCATTAGAAACAGGTATAACAAGGTACAATTAACATGAATGTCACAGGCCCACAGGCTAAATATTTGAACCCTAGATACTAATTATCTTTTACAAGCTCTGAAGGGTTAAGTACCCTTACCTGAAACGGCTGAACCTTATAGAATACACTGTGAATTACTTAGTATCCACTATAAATTATTCGGTCCGATGAAATATTCAGTTTCTGCTATGAAATATTCAGTAAGTGCAGTAAAGTAGTGTAGTGGGTAACACCTCTGCCTTCTACGCTGTAGACTGGGGTTCAATCCCCCACCTGGGTGAGCACCCTACATTACACCAATAAGAGTCCTTGGGCAAGACTCCTAACACTACCTTCACCTACCTGTGTAAAATGATCACACTGTAAGTCGCTCTGGATAAGAGCGTCTGCCAAATGCCGTAAATATAATAAGTATAAATTATTCAGAAACTATTCTAAATGATTCAGCAGCTACCATGAATTATTCAGTACGTACTGTGAGTTATTCAGTAACTACTATGAATTATTCAGTATGTACTGTGAGTTATTCAGTAACTACTATGAATCTTTCTGCATCTATATATACACTATAAAATAATCAGTAACAATTTCAAAACTAATAGGCAAGTAGCAATGAGAGCCAAGTATTAACATGTGTACCCAAAAAAAAAAGGAATGAATGAACGAAGAAAGACTCTACAAAAAATCCACGAGCTCACATATTTCCACATCAGCCCAAATGCCTGTTCTGTTACAAACATCTGACTCACTGCAACTGGAGAAAAGAAAGGAGGACAACGCTTGTTTTAACTCTGTCATTTCGATGCTATCACACAATCTAGAAGAGCAGGACTACAAAATGGCTCAAAAAGTTGGAAATCTTGTGTATGTGACTGTTTGAAAGGGGCAACAAGCAGAGACATGAAGAAGAAATGCTGGAACAGAATCTGCAACATATCACTAAAAGCCTGTGTGTGTTTGTGAGTTTTCTGTTTAGTCCTGATAATCTCCACAGAGACGAACCTGCATGAACACTTTCCCTATGATGACATCATCGTCGTCCTTAAAGACCGTGCTGAACACCACCGTCACACGATCCTTCTTCGCCTCCACGTACCTGAAACCATGGAAATCAGGAAACTGCTGAGGTGATGGAACGACAGTTGTGAAAAACTGGCACAAATTTTGTCCCGTCTGAGATGAACCCACTCAGTCTGGAGTCAAATAACAACTCTTCCATCTCAACCACAACAACAACAACGTGTTTCCCCAAAAAAACTAAATTAGGAGCTGCATGAATCAAGGATCTCGGAGGAAGAGAGGTGATCCGAGACCTAATTTGTTTGGTCCGTACAGCAGGTGCTTAAAAGCAATAGTTTGGCTAAATGAATGAATGAACGAATGAATGAACGAATGTTACAAAAAAATCTGTATGCCTTACATAAATTTACAGATTTTTTTCCTAACTTGCGTAATTGAATCGAGTAATTAAGATGTAAACAAAGTTATTCAGAGTGGTTTGATGTGACTTTGTTCATTGTAGAGAAACTTACTGAGTCGGAATTGTTCACAGTGGTGGTGATAGGAACCAGACGTCCACCTCTGAAAGCTCCCTCACAGAAAGTTACTACGTGAAATTGTTATAAATATACTCTGCCTGCTGCATGAGACACTGTTTTATGATATTTCTGAGAAGTGTTTGGCTTAAAATGTACTTTTCTAAACCCAACGGCACATGCAGGCCTTGTCGGTCAAAGCAGTCACCAAATAATACTTATACTTGCAGCTTTATCACTATTTTACCATCACCAGCGTTACATATAAACAGCATCCCAGTTCCTATCACCACCACCAAAGAAGTTAGAGCCTGTACATTTCTCTACAATGAACCATTTTACATCAAAAAATGTGATGACTTTGTTTCCATCTCAACCACTGAATTTTGCAGAAATTTGAAAAAAATAGGTGGACTTCCCCTTTGAGTTTTCCTTTAAATGTTGTTGATACGCCAAAGGCATATGTGGTGCGTCTATACACTGCAGTTATGAGACTAAATTAGCTAACAAGTACATGAAAGAAACAACGGACAAAAATTTAACAGACAAAAATATGAGCAATGTTCATTCTTCAATTTGTCCAAAACCCAACCACATACACATAAAGATGGTTCTTCAAGGGTTCTTTAGTAAAGAAAATGGTTCTATATAGAACAATGAAAACTCGAAGAACCCTGTGCATGATTAAATGGTTCTTTGCATCATGAAAGGGTTCTTCAGATGATGGAGAATGTGCTGTATATTTTTGAAAAGGGTTCTATTTAGCACCCAAAAGGGCTCTTTTATTGTTACAGGCTTGACATCGTAAAAATAGCAGAACCTTTTTGGTGCTATAAAGAATCATCAATCTGAAGAGTCCTTCAATCATGCAAAGGGTTCTTTGAGAGTTCTATACAGAACCATTTTCTTTACTAAAGAACCCCTAAAGAACCATCTTTATAAAGAGTGTAAATAAGTTATTTGAAGTATTTGAGATTACTTAGAATTCATAATTCATTTTCACGTGATGATTTTACAACCAACTTAGAACTGAACAGGCTATTATTGTTACTGTCCCTTAAAGACTGATATATGTTAATGAGCTCTGTTCTGATTGGCTGCCTTGTATTGTGCCTCATTCAAAAAGCAGTCCAGGCTGAAACACTCCTTATAGCTTCAGTGTAAATGGGCAGAGCTGAACTGCTATAGCCTGAGTAGGCAGATATACAGGGTGATTCAAAAAGATTCATCCGATTTCAAAATGATTTATTTCACTTGTAAATCATTAGAGAACAATGCAGTGAACTGTAAATGGTTTAAATGAGCATAAAGTTTATTATGTAATTGTACGAGTGCTCAGTATGAACCTCCTCCAGCTGTACAGACAACATCAGTCAAATTCATCCCATACTGGATTGAGCATGTCGGGTGTCGCTGCACTCACGGCTCTTTCAGTGCGATTTCGGAGATCATCCAGTGTTGTTGCGTGGCACATAAAGAGAACCCTTAAGGTACCCCCACAAAAAAACATCACACGGAGTGAGATCTGGTGATGCTGGTGACCTTTTTCTTGGAACTGTTGGTACCAACGGCGAATGCTCTGAGCTGCTGGAGGTTCACTGCCATACCGACGGTCAGAAACTCTACAACGCCCTCCTTCAATTGGATTGTGATTGGTTCCTAGGCGCCTCACGGTTGAAAAATACGGTGCTTTGAAATCGGATGAATCTTTTTGAATCACCCGGTGTGTAAATGTGCTTTCGTGACATTGCAAAAGACAATGAGTTCAAAACCAGTTTCGTTTCATATATGGACCATATGGACTGGGGAGCGAATAGTATGTTTTGAAGCCCAGGGACATGGGCCATTTAACAACTTGACCCAGTCTGAGGCGAGTATGAGTGAGGCATATTGCTGGAAGCAAACTTTAGACCTAAAACTGAGCTGAGCTGTTACTGAGTGAGATGTCATATTAGGCAAACAAGTGCGAGGGTTAGCTAACCTATGAGTCAGGAAAGACGGAAGGAATGAAAATAGAGAGAAATATGCAGCGTAAAAATAACTAGTTACTGAGTAATCATACAGGATGTACTAAAATGTCAGAGGTCAGTAGACGGTCACTTACATGGACTCGTCATCTCTGTAATGGACGACAGCCCTCTGCTCGCCCTCGCGCCCTTCCTCCTGGAACTTGAAGTATTTCTCAAACACAGAAGCAAAGCAGTTCCTCTTCAGCATGCCAGCCTGGTGGATCATTTCCTCTCGGTTGGCTGGCAGCGACTCCAAGTCAAAGAGCAGAGAGACGTTGTAACCTGAATCGAAAAGACACCGGAATCAGTTTAGCTCTGAAAGAGGATCCCTTTAACTGGACATTCCCACCAAGCAGGGCTTCAGTTAGCCAAATAACAGTGATCAAATTTATCAACTTATTAAGTAAAAGTATGCAGTTTTATTAATCTTTGTGGTTGCATTAATAAAGCACTATTGTTAGTACCAATCAGCACTGCAATCATAAAAATACACGTACAACTATTACTGCTGCTGTGGACCAACAACTGGTCTGTTTTCTCTACTGCCCTGTGCTTAACCCCCTAAAATCTCAGGCTTATTACACACTAAGGCTTATTATTCAGTAACTACAGGGACTTTAGTGCAAACAGGCTGAGATATTCGTAGATTATAGAACTGTGTAATAACAACTCTGGCCATTTATGAGGTATAAAATCAGTGTATAGTTATTTTATGTTGCACAGAAGAATTTATTGTGTAGTGCTTACTCAGTTTGTATTATCTGTCTGCTGCTGTTCTACAAACCTCAAGGGTTCTTTTATAAAGAAGAACCAAGCAACACTCAGAACCCTTTGCAGGTTCTTCATATCGATGGAGGATGTGTTTTATATAGTTCTATATAGACCCTTTTTAAAAAGGGTTCTATGCAGCGCCAAAAATGGTTCTTCTATGGTTTCAGGTTTGACAGCGAAACAGTTAAAGAACACTTTTTGATGCTGTATAGAACCCTTTTCAAAAAGGTTCTATATAGAACCATCTACAGCACATTCACTATCAATCCCTTACATCATGCCAACAACTCTTTAATCATGCAAAGGGTTCTTTAAATGTTCGTGGTTCTATATAGAACCATTTTCTTTACTAAAGAGCCTATAAAGAAGCATCTTTTTGTTTGTGTGTGTTAAATGTAGCACTGTGTCCTGAGTTTCTCTCTTCACATATGTGATGAGAATGAATGACAATAAATCTCACCCTGACTTTGTCAGTTTCCTCTTTACTCAAAAACATGGACTTCTTTGTATTAGAAACCTCAGATTTGACGTCTGAAGTCGGTTTGACATCTTTAGTTCGCTAACGAATTATGGGATCTCCACAATTTAGCCCATTATTATAGATAACAGCATGTTATACAGTGCAGAAGTCACATAAGCATGTCTATTAAAGAATACTTAAAGAAACCTACATTATTCTTGCATTATATTTCTTTCGCTTAAAAACATCTGGGTGTTTTTTGTGCCAAAAATGGTCATAACTCATTTTCACATGACTGTTTTCCAACTCTTTATCCCCTAAAATTAAACAGCCTGTTTCTGTGACTATAAGACTGACGTATGTAAATGAGCTCTGTTCTGATTGGCTGCTGTCTTTAACTATACAAGAATAATGTAGGATATGAGCCTTTAAAACCAACAACCAGGAGCGTCTAAGGACGGAAAAAACCTTCCTATCCTATGATCTTGGCTTTTGGTGAGCAAAAAAATAAATAAAATTTCATGAAATACTTTGAGCTGATAAAAAAAAAAACAAAACATACAAAAAAAACAAACAAAAACAAAGACAGGATCTCAGCTTACCATCTTCTGCTGGAACGAGGAAGTTTCCGTACACCCTCTTCAGCAGCTGAAACCAAACACGGCATCAATGTCAGAACATCTCTATTGTACACCATGACATACACACCGTATTTACTAAGATACATTCAGCTATAATATTTCATAACTGTCATAACTCTCCTCTCATTTTGAACGTGGATGTTGAAACTGAGCTAAACAAGCTTTGGATGATGTTCAAATTCTGCAAAAATGATCCTTGAAGTGCTGATACACTTTAGAAGATGCACCATAAGGAAGGTGATTTGTGAGGCTGAGGCTGAGAGCAGAGGCTCCCACTTCACTGCAGGTTCCTCAGAATTTGCATACGCTGTGCATGTGACCCTTTTGTTAGTGGAAGCACAGAAACATGGTTTGAATGTTCGTTTGCATCATCTGGGAGCAGCAGGGCGCCTCCTTCAGGCCGATTCCAGAGTCACAACTCACTCCAGCTTTCAGTTATTCACAATAACTAAACCCCTGTTGGAGCTGGATTAGTTTTAGGTGCTGTAGTTTGAGTGATTACTGTGAGATCCGTGATTTTAGTCCAGTATGAACCTGCAACGTCTGTGGTCTTTATAAATTTGCAAACTTGTAATTCCAGAGTGATTTACCTTCTATAATTCACTGAACTCAGAGCTCCTCAGTAACACCAGTCCTGTTCAACATCTCAATAATGTGATAATAAAACCGGGTAATAGAAAACGGCACCTCCATATTTCTTCCATTTTTCGTGATCTGAAGACAATGCTAACAGCTAAATGGAGCTGAGTGTCCAGTGTCATGTTTTAGGGTTTATTGTTGGTGCCAAATGTTGACGTAAACCAGGCCATCTGGTGTAATCTGGGGAAGTCAAATCAGGCACAGACTACATTACCAGAGCTCCTCCAGTAATAATAATCCAGCTCCAATAGGGCTTTAGAAGTACCTCATTACTTGATTTTAAAAGATTAATAATAATCAATTCAATTTCAGCAGTCATTAGTTTTCAGTTTGTCTGATAATTATGCATATTCTAAATTCTCCTATTGCTCTCTCTCACAGTAAGACACACAGTAGGACCTGATGAATACGCTCACTTACAGTCACATGCAATAGTTTGGGCACCCCCAGTCAAATTCCACATTGTTGTTAATTTTCTAAAGGTAAATAATATTTATAAATCCGATATTATTTGGATAGTCCACTATAGATGCTTTGTAAATACTTCATTTAAAGTTGCAAGCTACATTCAACTAAATTGACCATCATTTGCTTTAACACTAAACCTGCTCTAATCCTAACCCTAACCTTAACCTCAACCCAAAACCTAAACCCAACCCTCACCCTGGTCCAAATCCTAACCCTAAACCCCACCACTGTTTAGAATCAACTGAATTTCAACAGATAGTTTGTTAACAATTTGAACATCTGCAGATAATCTATAGGGGACAATAGTGGACTGTCCAAATGAGGTGAGACCATATGATTTAAGGTACAATTACTGCTTATTTGCTGAATTTAACATATTGTAAAAATGTGGTCTGTGCAAAAGTTACGGCACATTTTAATTTTATGCATTTTTCCCCCAATATGTTAAACAGAAATTGTGAACTAAAATTCACAGGAAAATACCAAATTTAAGTGTGTGCTCCGTAAGCAATGTGTTAACTTATTTTCACTCAGTTATTTTCTTAAGAGTCTTTTATTGTTTTTAAAAACCCAATTCCACTCAGTCACTCAGTAATAAAATCAATAGTGACAGTCGGTCTGAAAACTTTGTGGCCGATACCAGTTTTAAGGGGCTAATAGTTCAGATCACAACTGCTAAAAACCAGTAACACTGGTCCATGTCATTTTATATCTATATCTCAGGTTTTAATTATTTACAACAGTGGTTTTAATTAAACAGCGCTTTACTGACTGATACGATTATCAGTTCTTTGTTATCACATTTCTTAAACCCAAATAAGCAGCAGAAACTCAGTCTTAATCTATATATTGTAGTGCTGACTGTGCTGACTGTACTGACAGTATTATAACATAAGGCTGTCATGATCTCAATGCAACTCAATTACAACACTACAAAAAAAAAATTAAAATTCACTTGATAAGTTCTCAGCTTGTATGATAATGTATATTTTAAAATTTCCTACTGCTCTCTTTTAGTAATGAACTCATTCATGTATTTTTTATGGAAGCCAATTCCTGCCAGGTAGAGGTTTAAATATTACCTCTTATTTTTAATCTGTTCTCTTTATAAAAAATAAGTTTTTGATATATTTTTTACATGTTTTTGTTATTGTAACCATGATGGTGTTTTGTATTTAAATTCTCCAGTCCAGTGTGTTTTACTGTGATGTAGTTAAACAGACTCTTATTGGGTTCCCAAGAGGCAAACCTAGTTTTTCAGTGGGAGACTAAGTTTAAATCCCTGTGGCCAAAAAAAGACTATCAGCATGTGATCAGCAATATTTTAGCCAATATGAATAAAAAAGGTCATCAATATCAGCTGATATTATTGGCCAACCGCTGTATTGGTCAGGCCCTGACAGTCCTACTTTCGACACAACAAAAATACAGAAGAGACTCTCGCAAACATTGTTCAATACTGTTGACTACAGTCGTGTAGTTCTCTGCACTGACCGACAGCCTGTTTGTTTTAAAACAGAGTGACTTCCTCTATCAGAGGCACTTCCTGTTTCAAAACCACAGAAAGCTTCTCCGTCCAGCGTGGAGATCAGACTGTGATCATCAGACTGTGTCGGACAGCAACAAGACAGAAATAAAAAACAAAAGCAGCGTAAAGTGTGACTTCACCAACCATATTTACTTATTGTCGTCGGGCGAGGTCACCTGCCAGAGCTGACCACAGATCTGACTGGCTAAGACTTCATCATCAGCAGATATTCACTCACGTCAGGCGGAGTTAAGCTCCAGTTCCAGTTTTGCCCTCAGCCTGAAATACCCTTCAAGCCCAGCGCCACTGTTTCAGTAATAAAACAATCTGAAAATGATTCTAAATAAAAAGTATGAAGCTGTAAAATATGTCGAAATGTTAGATGTGTGAAGAGCTTTAGATTCTAAACTGACTGAGAAAGCAGAAAAACACTAAAAAATTAAGTTCTCGTAAAAATTATTTCCATATGAAAGTTCTAATAAAATTAACACCTAAAATGAAGTTCTAATAAATTCAATCAATTAACCTGTATTTAAACTCAGACAACATTGAGGGAGACCCTCATTTACAATGTAGCCGAGCCAATACAGAAAACAGGGGTTGAGAAGCTAAATAGTAAATACATTACACACACTAAAAAGTAATAATAATCATAGTAGTAAATAAAAAAATAAATCAAAAAAACAATTAAAATTACAACAGTATATCAACTTAATATATAAGATAAAATAAGGATAAACAGAATATATAATTACTGAAATAAATAAAGAAATAAAAGAAGTAATACAATAGTGTTGCAATATTAAAATAAATAAGAACAGAATAATAAAAATGGAACAATAACTAAAAACAAACCAAAAATCACTTTAAAAGTTGCAGGCTGATTGGAGGTGATTGATTAATTGATTCAATAAATTAATATCTAGTATTAAGTTCTAATAAAATTAATGCCCAAAATGAAGTTTTAATTACATTACATGTACATTACTTATTATTTAATCTCTTTTAACATACTATTATTGTTTAATATGGTTTTGTGCCCCTAAAAACATTAAATATTGAATAAAACGTACAAACCACCTTTTTTTTTATAAGTTATTACTGAATAAAACAATGATGATTATTAACATGACAGGTGTCCAAACTTCTAAATCTCTGCTCTCAATAATACCGTAATTAGAATTACACTATATAATTACACTGAGACTTTTTTTAACCTGTAATTAGGGCTAAAGCGTCCTGCTAGCTGGACTTGACTTGAGCCTAAACTGCTGCGATTAGACTGAGCTGACTGATGACCTGAGGCTGAACTAACCCTCTGTTGCAGTTGCTGGCGTAAAGCTCTGACCACTAAACTGACGAGGAAGGAAGTCATCGTACCTCGTCGGTCCCATGCTCCTGCAGCTCCTTGTAGAACTTGAGGGAGATGCTGACCATCACCTTTGTCTTGTCCCCATTGGGATTTGAGATGTGGTAGAGCACACCGTCGAAATCTAGAGCACGAGGAACAAAACAGAAGAGTTTATTTACACTTATTTACACAATGAGAGGCTTAAAGAACAATGACCAACAGGCGTAGAACAATATACACCAACCACACTAATATCACATCACAGAGTCATCAGTACGTAATGTTGACTTACAGAACAGTATGCTGTATATGTATATATAAAGATGGTTCTTTAAGGGTTCTGTAGTAAAGAAAATGGTTCTATATAGAACCATGAACACTCAAAGGCCCTTTGTATGATTAAAGGGTTCCTTGCATCATGAAAGCGTTCTTCAGATTGGTAGAAAATGTGCTGTAGATGGTTCTATACAGAATCTTTTTGAAAATGGTTGTACGTAGCACCCAATAGGGTTCTTCTATTGTTACAAGCCAGGTATTGTAACACTAGAACAACCCTTTTGGGTGCTATATAGAACCATCTACAGCACGTTCTCCATCAATTCTTCAATTGTTAAGATGTCAAACTTGTAACAATACAAGAAACCTTTTGGGTGCTATGTAGAACCTTTTCAAAACGGTTCTATACAGAACCATCTATAGCACACTCATGCCACCTGATCATGCATCATCATTTTTTAAGTGTACATGGTTCTATATAGAACCATTTTCTCTACTAAAGAACCCTTTAAGAACCATTTTTTTAAGAGTAGCTAAAAAAATAACAGCCATCTTTATCTTTAACCCTGAATTTTGTCGTGCCCAAGCTTTTGCATACGACCGTAAGCAAGTCTACTTGAGATTATTTCAACAACTGAGGCAGGTATGTAATCGGGGCACACAGTTACGCTAACTGGGGGGGTGTAAACTTCTACTACTTGTTAGCTATATTAGCCTTGTAGCTCTAGTGCTGGACTGAAGAAGCAAATTTCAGACACTAAACCTGACTTGGCTGATCGATTACACTTGGGGTCAGGAGGGAAAACTGTATGCTTGACTACTCATTCAAAGGGAAATTTTACTGACCTTTCCAATTTTCTGCGTAATTAAATGAACAGAGTCATTCAGAGTGGTCTGAATTTAAATGAGTCAAAATTGTTCATAGTAGTAGCGATAGGAACCAGAGTCTGCAGCTGTTAAACAAAATAGCTATGAATACACTGTCTGATGTCTGACATCATGTTTAACGATTATTCCACAATACGGTTTTGGCCTAAAACATCATTTTAATACACATTAATCGTGGATGGATACATACAGGGTGTTTTAAGGCAAAATAGTCCCCAAAGAAAACTTATTTTTTCAGATTTTCTACTATTTCACCATCATCAACATTCCATATAAACTCAGCAGACTCGTGTAGGTTCACTGGCGGTTCTGGATAGTAAATAAAATGTCTATATCTGTGTTGTAGTCATGGTGACTCCTGGTTCCTATCACCACCACTGTAAAGAAGTCTGAACCATTTCACACCAAACCACTCTGAATCACTCTGTTTACATCTCAACCACTGAAATGTGATATGAAATTTCATCTTAAACAGTTACTCCTTTTACTAACCAGGTGATTAAAGTAGGTTTTAAAGCCACTTGTCTTTAAATTATGGGTCTTTGTAGGATGCATCACTGTCCCACCTACTGTCTGTACAGCACTCAGACTTACCTGCAAACGTAACTTCTACCACTTCAGGCTTGTTCCTGAACACAAAAGAGAGTATTTTTATGAGATGAAAGAATCTCTGGACAGAAGACAGCAGCCACTTTGCTGGAAGATAAAATCAAGATCCTGCAGCCACGACTCTTTTACTTTAGCACTCAAACAATAGCTTCAGACTGCGGAAGCGCCTAATAATGGTGTAATAAAACGATTTACAGTCTGACTCTGACTGTACTGCAGTATTATAACTAAGGCTGTCCCGATCTCAATTCAACTCCATTACCAGACAGTACAAATAAATAAATAATTAATGATGATGTATATTTTAAATTCTCCTACTGCTCTCTTTTACAGTAATAAACGCATTAATGTAATTTTATGAAAGTCAATTCCCACCAGGTAGAGGACAAAAAAAAAAGAGCAGTATGTCAAAATTCATAAGTATCTCAAAATATTGACACTTGTCTCCTAATAGTGACTTACTATTGAAATAATGACTTAATTTCTTAAAGGTATTGACCTTGTAATGACTTAATAATATTAATAACTCATAATAATGACTCACTATCCTGAAAATTATTACCTAATTTCCAGGCATTTAATAGCTCAAAATAAAATATATATATATATATTAAGTCATAATTTTTTTGGGGGGATAGTAAATTAATATTTTAAAAGTACAAGTCATTATTTAAAAAGACTACATTAATATTTTTGCCACACTGCTGCCAGAAACAGGAAAAACTTATAATAACAGGCTTCCATGGTTTCATGATTTTTTTTTTTTAATTACTCTTGTTAATTACTTGTGAATCTCACCGGTGAATGTCAGAGTTATTTGAAATATATGCTCCATAGTGACATTAGAATAGTCTGTAAAAGGATTTCACTTTTTCACACATCTGTAAAAGTGAAATCACTTCAAAATAAGTGATCCTTTCAAAAATATATACCACAACAAATGTGAAGGTCTATCAAAGTCAGGGCTGGGTTTCACCAAAAGCGTCTTAGCACAAAGAAGATTTTTAAACTGGTAGAGTGAGCATCACACTGAACACTCTCTCTACTAGTTAAGATGATCTAAGATGCTTTTGGGAAACCCGGCCCTGACTGGGGCTGGCAGTGACAGTGATTAAACAGAACCACGGTACTACAGGTGGTCCAGGCGGGTTTGCTCAGGGCCTATAGAAGAAAAATGTTTATGCACTGTATATATATAAATAAAAACTGCACTGACTTAATTCCTCTTTGGTTTATTTTACTCATTTGTTAAACTTACTCATGCAAATCTAGTCACACTTACTTTTTGTTCCTTGATGCCTTAGTAACTTAAGTAAAGCTAGTTAAGATCAGTGAATAAGTTCTACAGACTACAGAGCATTTGGCCCAAAAACCTCCCAGCGTTCTTAGCAGTTGTGCTGGTTTCTGTTAACATTTATTTATTAATTTTTTAAATTTCTCTTCGCATAATGTTATTTTTGTGTTATGGCATATTCTCCTGCAAAACAGTACATCACATTTGCATACATTGTTATTCTCACCATGATGGTGTTCTGTGTTGAGGTTAATGTAACGAGTTCAAACAATTTTACAGAGTACAGTGACTCTATTTGGGGTAATTAAATGAGAGGTTAACCTAACTAGGCTGAGTAGCCTCTCAAACTCCTTGGAACCACCGGTGGTTCCAAAACGCACTTCGTCATATTCTTCATAACGTTCGTATTTCATAAGCTACATTCAGAAGGTGGGGGTCATATGAGAGCTGTGACTGTCTTCGTTCCAGTCAAATAGATGGGTGATGTAATTTTAAACCCTTATAATAGAAAAAGCTGAAGTCTGATTGTTTTTGTCTACTGAAAGTCGACCCATTTTTCCACAAATCTGGGCTATAAACTATAAACAGGTGGCATCTCTTCAGTGATCTGCTCTGTAAAAATAATTTTTTATAAAATATTAAAAAATAACGATTTGGTCATGTGAATTCAGATGGACAAACCCAAACACACCCTGGTCAATAAGAGGTTAAAGTTGACCTAACTCATTCAAAAGTTAGCAGAACTCACTGCCAGCTCAACGAAAGCCATATAAAATGACTGGGCTTGTATTTTGCATGTTTTATAAAGTAAAGTCAGCTAATATAAGTTTACAGTGTGGAAGGAAGAGGAAGTCAGGCGAGGCTGCATGTTAGGGAGGGACCAAAAAGAGACTGAGCAAAGCAGTGCAGCCAAACCTTATAAGGAAAAGACAACAGTGTGCAGCTTCACAGCCTCAAGCAGAAAAAAAAACACAGATCTAGACAGTCCTGCTGCAGAAGTAGAGCAAATCCCAGCTGGCTGCAATGGTCATTTCAGCTGTTTTAGGGGCATAAAGAGCTGAAACCTGCTGATTAGGACAGACAGAGTCAGACAGAGGTATATACAAACAGCCACACCCCGTATTAATGCTCAAACGTGAGGCAGAAGTTGGCTTCTCATTCGAATTTTCCGTTCCACCTTAAATGGTGGAACGGGAAAATTCGAATGAGAAGCTTGCGAACGGTTTAATGAACTTCAGAGCCATAATTAACAATGAAAAGCCCCTTCTGTGGACACGGAAAGGGCATTAACACTCTAATAAGCAGTGAAACCGCAGCATTCAGAGCTAAATACGCGTTTTATTCGTTTTTATTCAGTTTTGTTTGTGTCTGCTCACCCGCTGGCCGCGCTCTCGAACTTCAGCGTCAGGGTTTCCTCAATGATCCGGTTGTTTATCTCCAGCAGAATCATGGCGGATGGGAGTAAATGCTAAAGTGCGGTTTAAAATTAAAAAAACGATGATTTAAAATGTTTTATTTTGGCCCCTAAACGCTGGAACAGCTACCAGTCTGCCCTCAGCGCTTCCGCATTGAGCTTTAAGCCCCGCAGAAGCTCAGGGCTGCCCACAGCGCTGCCGGAGTCCGGCTGATCACAGGTTAGGCTGCTGCTCAGTTGGTGGGCTGTGAGGTGGTTAAAGCGTTTAAATAGGACTGATTTACACACAAAGCACCCCTTTAAATAAAACAAATCTACCACCTATTTTTTATTTATTAAGTGTATTGCTATTTGTTTGCAATACTAAGTCATTATTCTGAGATAATAAATCATTCATTTGAAATGCTATATCATTATTAAGAGGTAAGTCATTATTTTTGAAGTACTGCCTTATTAATATAAGACCTTAAGTCTTTATTTGAGATACTACCTCATTATTATGAGATACTAAGTCATTATTTTGAAATACTACCTTATTAATATAAGATACTAAGTCATTACTTTTACTAAGTCCTAATTTAAAGTATCATCTCATTACTTTGAGATATAAGGTCATTATTTTGGGATACTAAGTCATTATTTTGAAATACCCATTAATCTGAGATGCTTTCTCATTATTTTGAGAAATATTCTCATTATGTTGAGAAACTTTCTCATAATTTTGAGATACCTAATAGTTTTGCTTTCTAATGGGAATTGGCTTAATGGTTTCCAATAAAGACCACTAGTTTCCTGTAAAACACCTTTAGATCCCTTCAGGAAACCGTCAAATGCATTTAGAATCAGCCATTGTTAAACCTGTTAAACCATTAGCATCCTTTACACTGTGATTAAAACCCATTATAGAAAGTTGAAACACATTACAAAACCACCAGGAATCAACAGAAACACCGGAAATATCCACTTATTTATATTAATATATATTTATATTTATTTGTATTTTAATTCGAAAAGCATAAAGCATCCCAAAGTTATAATTATTTGACTCCAATATTTAATATTAATATTAATACTTCAATATTTAATATTCAATATTTAATATTCAATTATTTAAGTCAATTGATTTAGTATCTCAAAATAATCACTTAGCATCTGAAAATGAGATAATATCTAAAAAATGACTTAGCATAGCAAAATAATGAGATAGTATTTCAAAATAATGACAGAATTGCAAAATAATGAGGTAGTATTTCAAAATAATGACTTAGTACCACGAAATAATGAAATAAGAATCTTAACATAATGACTTAGTATCTGAAAACAATGAGATAGTATCTCAAAACATAATATTATATAATATTACTGTCCAGTTACACATTTTATTGGCATTTAACAGTAGCTAAACATGATGATGTCAGTTGTAGAGACACATAACCCAGCCCTGTGATGCCGACTGGTGTTGGTGTTCCTTTGCTGAGCCTGGTGTAGCCCTGGGCCTATGGGTGGTGCAGCTTTACGCTCGGTTTGGTTAACACTGTGGGAACAAGCGCCGCCACTAACACAGCCAGAGAAAGCGTTTTCCCACCACCCACCCTTACATTACAGGCCGAAGGTTTTACACAAACTGTAAGAATAAACAAGGAATTCATGTTTGTCCAAGAGATCACAGAGATAACGAGCAGCACTATGTTTATTAACCCACTTAAATGGCGCCAAAGTTCTATTAAACACTTTACAGCTCAGCCAGTTTGCGCTGAAGTCTGTGTAGTTATTGAATAACAAGGCTTAGTATGTAATAAGCCTGGGATTTTAAGGGGTTAACCAAGAATAGGTGGGTTTGTTCCTAAATGTGTGCAGTGATAGCATGTTCAGTAAGTGACTGTTAGTGAGTTGAGCTCCTGCTGATTGTCCTGCAGTGTTTCATTACAGCTCCGAACAGATCTACCTGTTCCCTCCATTCAAAACCTCCTGAAGGGTTATTAACTCTCAGGTGAGCTACATAAGGAGTAATGATAGAATTAAGGACGGCTCAGTGTGAGAGACTGTTATGAACGAGTGACAAGAAGGCTTTTCACACTGAACACGCTACTGTATTAGCATAAGAGTGTTTTTCCACAGCACATTCAAAAACAAGAACTGACCCTGATGGGATTTAGTGGGACTTTCACATTTCCACCTGCTTGAAAGACCCATTATAATAACCAGGATTAACCATTTAATGAAGCAGTAAGCCACGAAAGGCCGTGCATTACTGCGATTTTAACACGGAGAAGGGTGTTGTTAGGCACAACGTGAAGCGGAGCAACCATGGACTGCTGAATTTCGAGAATGTTTGGCCACCCATCACTGTATATTTCAGTCATTTTATGATCTTTTTTACTTTTTGTCACATAATAACGAACATATGATAACACATCAATGTTTAATGCAAAACATCTTTGTTCATAAGTACTTTTTGGTCACCAAATTACCACTGCAACTCTTATATAACACCCCTCTTCTCAGACTGTGGCTGAATCTCAAATAACTCCCTGCTCCCTTCAAAGTGCTCTACGTAGGAATTTAAATACTGTGCATTATTATAAGAACTTTTAGGATGGGTGGAGTGAGGGCGCCGGGAGCAGGTGCGGAGACGGAGAGCTACATTTTATTTATACACAACACAAAAACCACTCGGCTTTTCAGCCCACAGACAAATTAAGACAAGACGCTCGCTGGGACTTTTCAGTCTCTTCCTTTCTTTTCATTTGCTTTCTCAGCTCAGCTCAGCTCAGCTCTCTCATCTCCACCAGTCTCCTTCTCTCTCCGGGCTCTGCCACCTACTGAGGAACGAGATAGCTATAAGTAGGCTGGCAGAAACAAGGCACAGGTGAATATCATCAGCTACTTAGCCCGCTGGTTCAGCCCGACTGGCTCTCCATCCTGCATTCGATGCTTGGTCACGCCCCCTTCTCCACAATAATATAACAAATAGTTATTTGGGATTCAGCCACACCCATACTCCACAGATAGCGCATAGCTAGAATTTCTAAACGTCCACAGCTAGAACACTATTTAGGGAGTATGGAGCAGTTTGAGATTCCACCTGGGTTTAATGCTGTTTCTGACTGAAACACAGCGATTTGAAGCGTGTTAGACGTTTGAAGTATATTTTAAAAAGAAACCTTTGATAGAAGAAGGTAAAAACACTCTTTCAATAAGTTGAGGTGGTAGTATCTAGGAGTGCCCTATGTGCTCTGTTTGTGCAGGGGCTAGAAATGTGAATTGGGGGGCCCCTTTGCTCCCATTGGGAGAGGGCCTCTCACTTTCTCCCTTCTTCTCTTAGGTCCAAATAGATGAGATCATTTTAAAAAGAACCATATGCTCTGTCTCCTGTTTCAACAACAAGAACCATATATATATGCTGTTGGTCAGTCTGTTCGGGGGAGGACATTTAGAATTGGCACAGATCCTCTCTCAGGTACTCTATAGTGCTTGATATGATACAGTTTTACTATGTAATAAACCTTTTTACTGGCAACTCAGTATCGGCGGAGTTTTTCTTCACAACATCTCCATCGCCACTAAATAAACAACCATCGCCACTAAATAAACAACACGTTCAAGTGACATTTTTTAAACATTTATACTGCAGTTGTTCAGTGAATCATATCGGCTTGAGTCAGCAGCTCAGACTGTTCAGGCTCAAGGCACACTGCCTGATCAGAAACACCTTCCCCCATTGAAAAATCCTCAACCTCATAAAACCTCTTAGTCACAGAAGTGCTGTTTGATTCTGTCTCTCTCTGTATTTTCATTAGCTAGCTCTAAAAACACAGCAGCCCAGCCCGCCCGGTTTCCTCCCAGTCCCAATTTTTTTTCCTGAATCTTTTTGTTGCATTTCGTAGAATCACATTTCCAATGCTCTTTCATATGCGTCCATGAAATGTGTCCTTCTTTTCCATGGCAACGAAGACTCCAACAGGTGGATCCTTCGCCAGCCAACACATCCCGATGTTCACTGCGTGCCGACAAGTTTTCGAGAACATGGTGGCATCAGCAGAGGAGTGAACAGCGGCTGAGGAGACACTTTAAATGTAAGTACTGAGTTTAAACTGTGTTGAATAGCTAAAGATACAAATGTTAAAAAAGCAACGTTTACGCAACTTACGCTAACACTCGTTTGGTTTTGGGGAGAAGACTGAGAGAAGCATCTTTAACTCTAATAAATGGAAAAATAAAAAACTAAAATCAAATTTTCTGGCTCCACCTTTAAAGAACTTTAAAAGAACTTGACAGGCCTTCGTAGACCATGTCCTTCGAAGGATGCAGCCCATGAATTGGCACACAGCTTATACCATCAATATACTAGTTAACAGTGAACTTTCTCATGCTGGCTGTAGAATTTTATGTGTAAGTAACAAAGCACAGCTTTAATTTCTCATGGTATCACTAATCTAGCCTACTATGGAACTAAATTAAAGCATGCTGGTTTAGCTAGCAATGTTGTGAGTGCTCCAAATAAAAAAAAATGAACAATGAAGTTTACATCTGAATCTTTTCGTTGCATTTCGTAGCACAAACAAAATCACAAACATATTACATTGTTCAAGTGAGACAACAAAAGGTGTGCTTCTGCATCAACCCCTTACCCTTCGACCTTAACCCACCCACCCCCTTAGAACCCATACTTTCCACTAAAGCTGCTCCTGGGGATCTGACAGAGATAAACAGAATATCTACCAGAACAAGAGTGGTCTAAATCAATATATAAATAATAATAAATGTAAATAATAATCTGCAATATGTACAAATGTATAAGTAAAATTAGGGGGAGATAAATCCCAGCCCCAGTTTTTGAGCATTCTTCAGAGATGAGCTAGGAGCAGAGTCAGCTGAAAGTAGGGGGTGTAGTTACTCTTTAAGTCTAGGGCCGAACCACAGCTGCTCTGAGGTCAGCTGAGGTCTCGCTGCTCACTGGGTAGTTTTATTTTATTTTCCACATTGAATCTCATAAAACCCTTCAGAACCCTCTGAGGACCTCGGAGTCACAAACATCACAGGCGCTGCTAACGTACTGAAGCAAGAGCAGGGAGAGGGTTTAGAAAATAGCACGGAGCTTGGCAGATTTTGATTGGCCGTAATACAGTCACAGCGCTCACAGAAAACAGATTTCATCATCCCAGAAATTCAGCCTAATAAATATTCTGTGCCCATTTGATT